CTCCACCCATTTGGCTCCAATCTCCCCCGCCTCGGTTACAGTTTTGGGCTTCCCATTTAGTATGTACCTTTCTATTTCCTCAGGAACACCCTCTAAAAACTGCTCTATTTGCATTAGGAAGGGCAACTCTTCTGTAGATTTAACATTTGCTCCTGATATCCATGCCTCCCAATTTTTCCCAATGTGGTAGGCATGTCGGGTAAATAACACGTCTGGTTTCCACCTTAGGGCTCTGAACCGCCGACGGGCATGCTCGGGTGTTAGCCCCATTCTGATTCTGGCCTTGTTTTTAAAAAGTTTATAACTGTTCATGTGTTCCTTAGGCATTTCAGCCGCCACCTCTGCTAAGGGTCCACTGAACTGCCGCCTCAGCACTACCATGTACTGGTCTGTACTGATGCTGTACCCAAGGCAGGCCCTTTCAAAATTTTCTAAGAAGGCCTTAGTATCATCGCCTGCTTTGTAGGTGGGGAATTTTCTGGGATGGGAAGCGGTACCTGGAGAGGGGTTGCTAGGGTTGGCTGGATTATTCTGCCTAGCCCTTGCTAATTCCAGTTCATGCTTCCTCTCTCTTTTTTTCTCCTCCATAGCTCTCTCATCAGCTTTTTTCTTGAGTTTTTTTAATTGGAGCAGTCTCTGATGTTTCCTTTCATTTTCTTCTGCTTCTAGTCTGGCCAGTTCTAGTTTGTTAGCTGCTTCACTGGTAGTCATTTTCCTGTTTTCTTGTGCTGGGCCACACCCCTCGGTAGTTCACTGAAACTGGGATGCACTCAGCTCAGGCTGCTTAGGTAACAGAGACTTTCTAACTAGCTATCCCCGAGAGGTAGAAAGAAAAAAAACAATTCCGCTTATAAATTCCTTTTGCCAGCTGTTTGCTCACTGCTTGAACCCTTCTCTTAACAAAGACCCTTGTTAAAAAAACGTAACACCTCTGCATTCAGGCAAGGATAGATAAGATATGCATCTACCTTCAGCTCTGCTTTCCCAGCAGCTAGAAAGGAGGAAAAAAAAATCGTACTGGCTTTTGGTTTAAAATGATCCCACCGCTCTGCCACCATGTCAAGGCTCCTTCCCCACTCTAAACTTTAGGGTACAGATGTGGGGGCGTGCATGAAAACTTCTAAGCTTAACTACCAGCTTAGATCTGGTTTGCTGCCACCACTCCCAATGTGCTAATTCCCTTCCCTGAGTAGCCTTGAGAGACTCTTCACCAATTCCCTGGTGAATACAGATCCAAACCCCTTGGATCTTAAAACAAGGAGAAATTAACCATCCCCCGTTCTTTCCCCCACCAACTCCTGGTGGATCAAGATCCAACCCCCTTGGATCTAAAAACAAGGAAAAATCAATCAGGTTCTTAAAAAGAAGGCTTTTCATTAAAGAAAAAGGTAAAAATCATCTCTGTAAAATCAGGATGGAAAATAACTTTACAGGGTAATCAAACTTAAAGAGCCCAGAGGACCCCCCTCTAGCCTTAGATTCAAAGTTACAGCAAACAGAGGTAAACACCCTAGTAAAAGGTACATTTACAAGTTGAGAAAACAAAGATAAAACTACCACGCCTTGCCTGGCTGTACTTACAAGTTTGAAATATGAGAGACTTGTTCAGAAAGATTTGGAGAGCATGGATTGATGTCTGGTCCCTCTTAGTCCCAAGAGCGAAACTCCCCCCAAAAACAAAGAGCACAAACAAAAGCCTTCCCCCCACCAAGATTTGAAAGTATCTTGTCCCCTTATTGGTCCTTTGGGTCAGGTGTCAGCCAGGTTACCTGAGCTTCTTAACCATTACAGGTAAAAGGATTTTGGAGTCTCTGGCCAGGAGGGATTTTATAGTATTGTACACAGGAGGGCTGTTACCCTTCCCTTTATAGTTATGACACCTGTAATCTTTGTCCCAAACCAAACACTTGTATTCCCTCTCCCCTCCAGAGTGAAAACCTTTAATGATGATATCTTAAAAAAAATTAGAACAGGCAATTAATTTTCTTTTAAATTAAACAACAAAACCCAAAACCAAAGACAAGCTCATATGACCACAAGTTTATTGAAAAAGGAATCTCAAACTTGCCAAAATTGCACTGTGAAGGTTTTGTTTATTTATCAGTTTATCACTAAGCTTTCCCACATATTCTAAACAATTTAATCAGAATCATAGAATATTAGGATTGGAAGAGACCTCAGGAGGTCATCTAGTCCAATCCCCTGCTCAACACCAACTAAATCATCCCAGCCAAGGCTTTGTCAAGCCAGGCTGTAAAAACCTCTAAGGATGGAGATTCCACCACCTCTCTAGGTAACCCATTCCAGTGCTTCACCACCCTCCTAGTGACATAGTGTTTCCTAATATCCAACCTAGACCTCCCCCACTGCAACTTGAGACCATTGCTTCTTGTTCTGTCATCTGCCACCACTGAGAACAGCCCAGCTCCATCCTCTTTGGAACCCCCCTTCAGGTAGTTGAAGGCTGCTATCAAATCCCCCCCCCCACACTCTTCTCTTATCCAGACTAAATAATCCCAGTTCCCTCAGCCTGTCCTCGTGCCCCAGACCCGTAATCATTTTTGTTGCCCTCTGCTGGACTCTCTCCAATTTTTCCACATCCCTTCTGTAGTGTGGGGACCAAAACTGGACGCAATACTCCAGATGTGGTCTCACCACTGCCGAATAGAGGGGAATAATCACTTCCCTCGATCTGCTGGCAATGCTCCTACTAATTCTTAACAATTATGTGACTCATGAAAATTAATTTTTATTACATTTAAGAGTGTTGTTTTGATTTCTAACATTTAGCACAAAGTTATTCTTGTTCTGTTTCACTTTGGTAAATGTGAGAAGAGAAGAACAGAAATGTCTAACTGATAGCATTACAGAGCATAAAACTGCCAAAGGTGCTATATGGCTGTAGCTGAGAAGTATGAAATGATTTTGCTATTGAATACATGACCCTAATAAAATCCAAATATAGTTCTACAGATTTTAAATACTGATAAAATGTATTGTATATATATAGTACCTTAGTTGTAGGAAACAAACTATTCCTTCATAATATGCCACTTGTGACTGGATTTACCATTAGGCCATCTTCTGCAAATCCATCCTCTTGTTATAAGTTTTATTTTAAACAATTTTTGCCTGTGAAGTTTATTACTTGGACTCCCATTCTGTATGAAGCCCACCAAGGTACACAGCCTTTTGCTGGTCTGTGACCTAAGGCTTTGATATTGTCCTTCCCATGGTGTCTTGATGCTACTCATTATATAGATGTGAAAGGCAAGCTGCATTTCCCGATGCTGAATATTTTTGTCCTATGTATTCATAGCAGGATTGAAATAAATGTAAATCTTCCAAAGTACATTTCTAGATGGTGATATGGACAACATTAAAAAAACTTTAACATAAGCAATTTCTATACTACTGGTCTGTCTTTTTTTCCTTCATAAATTGTAGTGTCAAGAATATTAGGAAAGATCTATGAAGATTTGTATGAATATTAAAATGATTTCTGGTTTCAGGAGAAAACTGGAGTTGAATGTAAGTTTTCAAAAAGTAATATTTTATCTTACACTACTTTGTTTCTCTTCTAGTGGCAAAGCATTACAATAACACTGGTTGAGAAAGTGCAGATGATTGCTGTAATCCTAGGATCTCTGTTCTTAGTAGCAAGTGTGACTTGGCTTCTATGGTCAGCCTTCAGCCCCTATGCAGTATGGCAAAGAAAGGACATCCTTTTTCAAATCTGCTATGGAATGTATGGTTTTATGGATCTAGTGTGCATAGGTAAGCTCAAAACATTAATCAGTACAGATTGTGGTTTAAGAGTATAACTATGGGTCAAACTTCCTTAGCTCTTCAATTCTCTACTTATTTATTCTTAGATGACATATTTAGCAAACACTTGACTTTTATAAAAGTAGAGACACTGTGAGAGAGGAACCAAACAAAAACTCAACCCTCAGACTGTTCAAATCACTTTCCCTAAATGTTAAATTCCCAGAATCACAATCAGTTTTGCTTACTTTGAAATTTAAAAGGATAGTAAAGTGTAGGAGGGTCAATAGGTGAAATTATAACAAAGATTTGATGAAAACGACTAATGATAGTTCTGTTCTCTCAAATCTTCCTTTGTTGCTAAGCAGAGTTAGTTATATATGTCAAGGATAGAATAGGTCCCTGAAGGATTTTCTCGTAGAACTACATATCTAGAACTACACTGAACAGAGTTGTGTGAATCACTATGCTAGAAATAGAGTATAATGGATAGGCTGCACTGCTGCAGTGAGATGAAGGAACTAATTCAAGAGTTCTGTTGATATCCTAAACAGATAAAAAACACTATATAAGTGCTAAGTATTTTAATTTATTAATTATACTATGAAAGCAGACCTCAAGTGGTTTATGATGCCATTAGAACTCTTAAAGAGTGAAGATGCAACTTTCTGAAAGCTTTTGTGTGTGTGTGTGTGTGTGTGTTCGTACTTCCTTTAATATATTGATCCCCAAATGTCTAAATAAAAACTTTTAAATAGTTAGTAAAGCAACTATGAGCTGAATGTGAAAGAGGTTACACTAAAGTAAAAATAAAGGAATTTTAGTCACTCTTAGAGTAAGTAAGGCATAGTAATTTGAACTAAGGTTCCCAGAATATTTATATCAATAACATGATGAAATGCTGTATAATGCTTTTAATAAAAAAAAAATCTCAAAATGCTTTGCAAATGTCGCTGTTAACTCAATTTTATATATATGCCTCTTATTATACCATGTATACATTATCATACAGGTCAGTTGATAACATAGTTATTTGAAACTAATTGTGTTAATTGAATTTTTTCACTGGTTTAATTTGTTACAAAAAATGAAACTCTTATCAGTTCAAAATTTATTACTTAGTATCTGTAGACAGATAAAAATACATTAGTGTATTTATAGAACTAAATGTATCAATGGAACAGGGTTATGGCTGTACTAATGAGGAAATTCAAATCTAAGAAAGGATTGCTAAGAGTTATAAAGTAGTCACTGAAATGTCCAGTGTAAATTTTCACATCTAGATTTAAAACAATATACAGTAGTGTTACTTGGAAACTTGCCAGTGGCCTTAGATATCTAAATATATGCATATAACTACAGTCTTATAATTAATACTAATAGCATTAATTAGCATCTCTATCTACATTTTGTAACTATAGTTTCCTTACTTGAACATTAACTTTTAATTAATGGTAAGCTTAGTATGTAGGTGTTTTTTTTAACAATTATGTTACCTAATAACTTTAAATTACTAAACTTGTGTCTGGGAATTAAGAAATAACTGGTTAACTGGTTTGGTAATTGTGCAGCATTTTTGTACTTCTGATCAGCTCAGACCATTCAAGTTCAATATACTTTCAAGTAATCTTCTGCAGCCTATTGTATTTTAAACATGTGCATCCAAGACCACTTATAAATTTTTAAAATATCTATTAGCATCTCCAACTTTACTCTGTGTTAGGAGTATCTGTTATTGTAACTTCTATAGGATAAAGGACTTTAATCTGAGTAATTGTTTTAACTGAAAATATTTGAATTAAATTCCTTAGAATGCAAATGTTTAGGTTTCTGAATGATCTAAAAAAGCCACAAGACAATCTGGTAACAGATATAACTTTCCAACAGCAGTTCAGTGGGCAATGATTTTATTACATTAGAAAGTTTTTGTCTTGCTCTTTAATTCTTACCAATTAGCTCTAAATTATGTAAACGGACTAACAAGTAGTGTATGCTATACTCTGTTCCTCACACACTATGACCTGTGCAGTGTTGATGCAGCCAACAGAAGTGTTATGAAGCACAAGTCTAAAAGTTAAGTGCCCCACCCCTTTATTTGTGATCATCCTGCAATAAATTCCCTGTGGATGGGTCCCTGCACCCATGAAAAGCCTCACTGATTTCAGTGGGGATTTGCATAGGCACAAGGGTGCGCTCATGGATAGTTAATTTTAGGGTCAGGGCCTGAGTTGTAAACTCCATGACCAAAGACCTATTCCCGTTGTCTAAAGTCATGTACATCTATGGCTCTGCATAAACAATCAAATATTTTCAGCCACCTGAGAAATGTAAATATCTGTACTGCTTGAAGTGTTATTGTTTTTATAATTTTGAAATGAAGTTTAATAATTGGCTAGTGAGAACTGCACAGTTATATTAAAAACCTGCACATTTAGAAACTTTAACAGATTATTTTTAGTATTTTTCCATTAAATCTTATTTCATTGCATCAATCCACACTCCTATCCAGTAAGTAATATTAAAAAATGTCTCATACATTTTAATCTGCCAGCCTTGTCATTCATTTGTACCAAGAGAAAACTGTCAAAGCTTACAGCTCACCAGTATGCCACCCAATAAATAACTTGTGTGGATTCTCTGTTCAGTTCCATTTGCAGCCTATCCAGTTTTACAGGAAGTCCACTTTTGTAACATTTAACAAAGAATAAAGTTGCCTTGTATTACAAGACTATTCTTATTCTCTATGCACAGGACAGGTCTATCAACATCAATTTAACTTACACATTTTAACATGAAGGTGAAATTTGTGTCCGTTGTTCCCTTCATCCTCTTCTGATTTTCCCTGGAAATTCTGGGTCCCTCCTTACAGCATCCCCTTCTAGTCACATCAGTGTCAAATTCTCTATGCAATTCTGCATCTGAACTGGGTATGAAGTTGTTCTCACAGGAAAACTTCCAAAGCATGCAAGATTTGCAGAGAAGTCTTTCAGATTTGAACTAAATGGAACTGTGACCAGTCAAAGTTGTACACATTGATATTGCCAGGGATTAGTGCGTCCCTGTTGGGATTATCAGAGAGAGAGAGAGAGAGAGTGCTCAAGGTGTTTACATTAAAGGAATTTAGGATTCAAAAACTTTAAGGATTCCTTAAGGAATAGTACATTAGTTTCCCGCTCTTCCATTGCTTGGACCTGGCTGCTCTCCTTCATCACATTGCCTCCACATAGTCACACTATTGGAGAAGAATGACTAAGCCGTGGTAATGGAACCTTTTTGAAGTAGTAAGTTGTCAGTGTGTGTACAATTCCCCCACTCTAACATTCTATAGACCAATGGTATAAATAACCTCTCCCTCTAACTGTACTGCAGTATCTTTCTACTCACCAACTCTTTTCCTTCATGTTAAACAAATCTAGTTGTAAGTGGTTTTTGAAATAGTTGTATTGTTAAAGTTAGATTTATTTATATTTCATGTTAATTGTTTGATCAATTCATACATTTTTGTGGGCCCATCTAAACAATAGTTTTAAGGGGTTTTCCTTTTGTCCTGTGACGGTCCCTACTTGAGACAGGCAATTTATTCCATAGGGAAGAGCATTTAGCTAAAAGTTGTCATGCCTGCAAGGCCAACTCAAAAAGGGCCCACAAGGACTAAGACTCCAAGAGGCACGATTCTGGGAGACCGTCTTCTGGAAGATGTCCTCCGGCATGAGTAGCATGGCAACTAGAGCTGGACAAAATATTTCATCTTAAATGTTTTACAGCAAAAAAATACAGATTTAGTGATGCTGAAATATTTCATGTTTTTATGTCAATTTTGCTGAATTCTTTAAGTAAAAAAAGTCTTAAAAATTCTGAAAAAAATCATTTCAACATTTTTAAAGTGAATGTTTTGCTTTTTGGTTCAAAAAGTACTTTCAAAATTTGCCTTAATTTTATTTTAAAAAATCAAAGCATTTAGAAATGATCAAAATCAAAATGAAACATTTTGTTCAACCTGAAATGAATTGTAGACTTTTTGCTTTGCCAAACATTTTGGAAAATCCATTAATCATACCGTTTTTGTGGTGACAAAGCCAGTTTTGGTGCTGGAGCCTGATGCCCAATCACAGGTTGAAAAGGATTGTCTTCTTGTAAATGTGTTTGCAGGGACTTTTGAAATTTGTTCCACGGGCTCAGGATCCAGATTCTTTGTATGGAGCCAAGGAAAGATCGTACTATTTCTGAAAGACATCATAATAATAAGAAAAGGTGCTCCTACTGTTGGATCTGCCCCGATCGCACTGCAATCAGTTTGCTTAAATCTTAGAGATCCTGAGGATATGGCTTTCTTGGATCCTGCCAGGTCAGATCCATCTGGCCAAAGCTCTAGGAACTCAATCCTCCAGGACTCCCCTAGAAAGTGTCCTGCAAGAAGGTGAAGGCACCAATGAGGATCCCTTGGCCCCCTTCACCTGAGTCCCTGGGATCAGTAGTTGTGCCAGATGTAGAGTCAGACTCAGTGTTAGGGGAGGAAATGGTGGGAAACTCTTCAGAAGTTGCCCCTTCTATCTCATCTAGTGTTGCCAGATCTGTTTTATTGCAAGTCTTGTGGTATTTAGTGTTTTATTTAAACCAACAGCTCCTTGAGACAAGTGAGTATATGAGAATATCAGCTTTCATTTAAAAAAGTTTTTAGCCCTTATGGTTTCAGAGAAAGGTTTGTAAATGTAATGTGAGTGCACCCTAATGGTTTAAAAACAAGAAGGCAAATAAAGAGACCCAGCAGAGTTGCAGGCCCTTAATAATTTAAATTACGGTAGCACTTAAAGGCCTAATCAAGGATCATGGCCCCATTATGTTCATACAGTGCATAGGATGTACTAAAGAGCGAGTCCTTGCCATAAAGAGCTATGGCCTACAGATCTTATACTGTACAACATAAAGATATGATTGTATTTAGGAATCACTTCAAATTTCTGGTAAAAACTGTGTTGGACTTTGATCTCAGTCAGTTTATATCACTATTTGTCTTCACCTCACCAGAATGTCTAGAGTTTTGGAAGGAAAAGTTGTACACCCTATATATCGAGAGAGCTACTACTTAGACAGGACTAAGCAATTTAGAAAGTCAAAGAGATCATCTGTGGCCTTTGTAGAAAGTTAAACCATCTCAGGTCAAAAACTAAGTGGATATGACTATACAGCCAGTCATTATGAATGAGCTGAAGCTCAGGATTCACTCAATTTAGGAGGATGGCAGCTTCAATATCATATATCCACAGTGTGCCCTTACCTGAAGTCTTTATGGCTGCTACAGGAAGTCACAAATCACTCTTTCCTAAAATGGCATCAAGGGCAGAAACAGGCTTTGAGAGGGCAGTGGTTCAAGTCATTGTTTAGCTACCAGGACTTCTCAGCTGTCCTCAGGAAATCAGTGCTAACTAGTCTCCTACAGTGTGGTCCTGGGGAGGTAGTGTTAGAAGGAGAAACCACAACTCTTTGTTCTCAAACATATTCCCTCCATAGAGCAACATGGACCTTTTCTTCTGCTTTGGATCCCAAGTACAATAAGGCTTCTGGAGGTAGAGGAGAATTGAAGGATGGTTAGAGGGGACCAGATATTTGTGTCCTCTATTTATGAATGTTGGGATCAAGGGAATAGTGTGAACTAACAAAAGCCAGCTACTATTCTCAGATATTTTTGTAGCTCCCTGGCTAAACACACAACTCCTACAGTTAGACTCTATGAAAACAATACATTCAGAAATCAATTATTGTTAACACCTTCTTTCACTAAGAAGATGACAGAAAAAGGCGCTGACTCTTCAGTGCCAGGATTTTCCGCTTGTCCTTTCCCCTCACACTTTTGATGCTGGGCTTGACACCATCTATTCAATCATACTTCTAATGATTGGCTACCCAGTAACAGCTCTACGATTTTACTACTGGGAAACAAGGCAGACCAGAATGCAAGTTAGCTTTTTCTTTATTAAATCCAGTGAATTGCATACTTCCTAATGATTCAGGCAAGCAATAAGCATTGAGGTCCTGGCTATCTTACAAAGCAATCAGTTGCATTTTCTATCAATCTGCTTATGTCCTGGATCATCTCTTGATGAAAAAGCATCCATCCATGAACTAATCCATTCATGGTGATCTTCAGTCGTATTGTACAGATAATTTTTCATATGGGCAAGAGTGGAAAAAGAATATTTCCTAGACGCTATAGTCACAAACAGAGTAGCAAATAATCTTAGAAACATTTTAATATTGATGAAAAATAGAGTTACATTAAGTATTTCAGTAATGAAATTTGGTATCTTTTCCTTGCCAGTAATTCCTTCACTGATGATAATCAGAATCCTGATCATTATCAGGTAAATATGGCAATAAGTGGCTAACTTCATGTTCATTATAGTTCAATTTCCTAAATACACAGACAGCAGGTTTATAAAACATGAAGCAATTTTATTGCAAGCTCGAAATATGTCATTTAGCTACATGAAAAAAACAGCCATAGTTGAGAGGAGCAGTGAACATCTAATATTCTGCTAGCTTTGTTGATAGTGACAATATGGGACATTAACCATTTTAGGACATCACATCCTCCCTTTTTTTTTCCTTACAGAAAGTTTGAAAAAGAAAAAACTTATGGTGACACACAAGTTTCCCTTTTCAAAACCAAAAAAAAATCCTAGTTGGAACCAACCACATTTTCAATTGAAATATAGCGCTAGCAACCTTAAAAAAATCCATCTCTCAAAACAAAAATACCTTAATTTTCTCTATAAAGATTTGTCAGTGCCTATTAAAAATTGCTAAAGTTTTCTATTTTTTAAAAAAAATTGAGACGAAAAGGAAAAACTAAGGTTTCTCTATGAGAATTATTTCTTTTCAGTCACTGGTGTTACTCATTGGAGATGACTTGGCTAAAACTTCCAGATATATTTTCTTTTGAGTGTTTAATCTTTGATGAACTACTATTCTGATAGGCCTTGATCTTACAAACAGAATCCAGCCAATGAAACTACTCACAGCAATAAGCATTATTAGTAAAGGCCCAATATTGTAAATACTTAAACACATGCTTAGCTTTGAACATATGAATAATTCCACTGAAGTCAATGGAACAAGTAACATACTGACAATTAAGCATATATGTAAATATTTGCTGGATGGGAGCTTAAGAGTAAGTCATTCTATAAAGGAGATCAAATGAGCCATGTTTCCATTGAGGGATACTTAAAAAGATTCTCTGGATCTCTGCAAATCTCAAGAATGGATCCCTGTTCTCTGGCCTTCTGAGATTTGAACAGAAAGAATAAAGTCCATCACTCCAAACCCTGCTTGTGAAGTAACAGTTAATGTTGACATCTCAGTTATTTTCCTGAGACAAGTTTCAGAATTAATGCCACATTGGAGTAATAGGGGGAATTCACATTTATTACAACTGTTGTTTCAGGCTATAGGTACACAGAGAAGAACTAAGAATGTGGAGGACGCTCTTAAATCTGTTTGAGTGCCTTATACCAGTTTAGATAAGCCGCTCAAACTAATTTAAGAATATCCACAGAAGGAGATTGCGCCAATTTGTATGAGGTCGAGGCCTCTAGTAAAAATCCCTAACATAGAAGCACTTAAGCTAAACTTAAATCAGTATATGCAAGGGTTAACTCAGTTTCAGTTGGTAATTTACTAATGCAATGGAATGATTGATTTTTATGTCAATTTAGTTAAATCAATGCACTTTTCTAGTATAGACAAGGCCTCAGATAACATTGGTTATGTTCAGTTCACATACAGAAGGTTTCCTTAATAACCATAAAGGCTAGAAACTTTCATTTAAAAATTTAGATTCTCATTACACTGACGATAAGGAGGAGGGGGTAAAATTATGATATACACTCTGAGTGGACCTAAAGTTTACCTCAAATAGTTTAGATAAATTATTGGCTGATTGTATAAGTCCTCTGTATCTTTTATGGACAGTTATTTGTATTATTAGAGTTAAGATACTCACAGGGATCCTCATCTTAATTTGACAGGCACCTGCCAGTTGCAATGTGATAAATGTGGTTAAGTTTACATCTTTATTCATTCCCTCTTAAAATGGAGTCTAAGATTATTGTGTAGTAACTAATCATTCTTTCCTTAAATTTCAGGACTAATTGTACATGAAGGTGCATCAGTTTACAGAGTGTTTAAGCGCTGGAGGGCTGTTAATCTTCACTGGGATGTATTAAATTATGATAAAGCTACAGACATAGAAGAGAGCAATCGAGGAGCATCTTCACCGGGTAGGACATTGTGGTTACCACTAACTGCATTTAGAAACAGAAATTTAATTCATCCAACACAGTTAACCTCTCCAAGATTTCAGTGTGGCTATGTATTGCTGCATCTGTTCAATCGAATGAGACCTCATGAGGATTCATCAGAAGATAACAGTTCTGGAGAGGTTGTGATGAGAGTGACCTCAGTGTAAAGATAATGCTCACTGTGCTACACAAATAAGGATAATGTGCCCTGGACTTTACAGTACTCCGGAATGTAGTTGCAATGAATGGCACTTCTGAAAATATTTACAACTTTTAAAACATTTAATGCTTTTTATATGATCAGTTGAATTGCAAATACATTTTTCTGAAAAAGTTGTTTGCTTTTTTATAGTCTGGTATATTACATAGTCTGGTCAATTTGTACTTGAAATTTATAAAAATATAATTTAACTCTCATTGCCTTGAATAATGAGGAAACCAATCTTTTAAGCCAAAAATATCTGTCATAGCGTTGTGTATTTTTTCAGTCGATATAGTTTTTCAAATGCGTAAGTTGAGGAAAATAATGACTGGTATCTCTGTGACTAACTCTAGATATATTTAAGTGCATCATTTAATATAGTAGCTATGTAGAGGTTCAGTCACATTTCAGAAAGATGATATATAGGGGCTTGTAGAAGATGGACTCACTGTTCACATGCCCCTTTTGTCTCTGGGCAAAGCATAGCAGGCTCTCCTCATCTAGTGCCCTCTGCCACAGCCGGTCCAGTCCTGGAGCAGTCTGTTTCTTCGTGTGATGTAATCCTCTAGCCAGGTGATTTATAGTCCTTTTCTTCTGGGGTAAGAAAGCAAGTCCAACAAAGTAAAGTCCAACACCTCATGCTGAGTTTGTGGTCCAAATCCAAACATACTAGTCCTTTGACACCTGGCTTCCAGGGTCCTGGCACTGTTTTTGGAGGGCCCATAGGGGAATCCAGGCTCTCCCTCTCCTTTGGGTTCTAGCCCAGGAACCCTATAGTGAGCATGCAAGGTGTGTTTATCCAGACCTTCCCAGCCCCTGCTTCCCCCCAGGCTTCTTCCTACCTCAACCTATCAGCAGGCCTTTTCTACAGCCCCTTCCTGGGCCCACTGTGTACCTGTACCTCTCAGGCACTACAATGTCTCAGACATTACTGTTTCTTCAGGGAGTCTTCTCTGGAGTTTTCCAAAAAACCTGAAACCAAAAGTATATACTTAAACTACTTTCACCTTTCCTTGGCTTGAACTTTAGTCCTTCACCTGTGTGCCCCAATACTCTGCTCCTCAGCTGAACACCAAACACACCCTGTGTCTGCCTCCCTGGAGTCATAGCTCCTGTGGTGGGTCTCAAAATGGAGCTAAATCTCTTCCTGTGGATCTTTCCAGTTCTATCTCTTAACTTCTATCAGACCAAACTCCTGTCTTTTGGGTCTCCTTAATACAACTGGGAAAAGGCACTAACATATTTGCAATTGCACAGTGGGTTTTTTGAGGCGTAAACTATATGTCCTATGAAGTGTCATTAGCACTCAAAGGGAAGCTAATAGATCAGCCTGTTGAAATGCTGTGAATGAAAGCGATGCTTTCATCCTGGGTGCACTCACATACTATGATCATGGGCAACTTATAAACATCTGCAACTTGTAATTCCTCTTCTTTTTACATATGTAAAAGTCACCAAACAATTTTAATGTCATTTGTAATCATTAACTGAACAAGTCATCTAGTCTATCTCCCCCTTCCCCTGCCCTGAAGCCTAGACCATCCCTGACAGATATTTGTCTAACCTGTTCTTAAATACCTCCAAAGACAGGGATTTCACCACCCCAACATATTCAAAATAGTGTCCTACACCCTTTAGTTTTCCCAATTTTGTACATGCTAGTTGAGAGGTATCTAATGGAAAAATCTGAATTTAAAATGTGTAATGTCTCCTAAAGCACATTTTCAATGGTTCTCTCAGAATTTACTAAAAAGTAAACAAAAATTATAAAGAAATATTTCTTGATGAGATTAAACCTTATTCAGTCATATTTGAGTCAAGAGTCAACAAGTTAAGAGAGACTAGCAGGTAACACATTATCCCTTTAGATTTTTTTAAAATTGTATTATGCATATAACTCAATATATTAAATTTTCTTTTAAGAATTGACTGACATTGCAAAGTTTTGGATTTTCTACAAAAGAGCATAAAAGTCCTTATAGGGAGATGGTTCCTTGGTGCCCTTGCGCAAGCTAAGAAAGGGGACTGAAAAACCCCAGAATAGAAATTAAATGGGAGAGAGAGAAGATTCAGTTGAACATGATATAGTCACTGAAATTTGTATATACTTATTAAGTAAAACAAGTTTGTTATGAAATCACATTTAAAAGGCCAACTTTTGTACAGTGAACTGTATTATGGCTGTTTTCACTGCATCGCTGAATAAGATATATCCATCATACAGAGTTTAGTAGAGCTTGAGTCATGAGGTTTTAAACCAATGCAATTTATTTGAAACCAATGGCGTTATAGCTGCATAAAATTGGAGAAACACAGTAGTAAATCAGGCCCAATATAATCACAGCTCTGCATTGCACACATGCACAGAGTTTTATTAAAGCATCTAGTGGTATATCCCTAGCAAACCCATTCTATGCTCTATGGATATACAAAGAACAAGTCTCCATTGCCTAATGCTTTATGTAATAATTTTCACCTAGTGGACCCAAGATACAACCACTGATTTCATTAGAATTACATTGGCGTAAAACTGGAGTGCCATAGTGGTGAAATAAACCCAATAAGTACAAAATTGGTGTTCAAAGGGAGTGGTAGCATTTGATAGGTGTAAGTGACTACACCTGTACAAGGCAATGGAGAATCAAACCCCATGATCTCCAAGCAATAAAATGGAAACCTTGTATGCTTCAGGATATACAATATATTCTGCATTCTCCTCCTCCTCATTTGAACATCCTCTAGTGATGAAAGGCAAGTTTGGTTTTTAGGAAGGGCAAAATGGCCTAGATAAAATAGAAACGTCCTGCTGAAACTTATACCAACCCTTTCAGAGGGTCAAACAAAATCTTTGCGGCCTTAAAAACCAGTATTCCATGAGGAAAGCTGTTCTTGTATTTTTGGCCTATATATATATGTATATATAGGTGATCTTGTGAAAGAGCCCATACTCATGAGATTTGCAGACCCAAGAAGTTTAGTTCTGCTTTCCATACAAGCTTTTCATTTTTCAGGACATACAATATTAAGAGCACGTGATCTTCTAAATTCTGTTTAAGTTCTGGGCACGTCATTATCAGAAAAAAGGAATAAAAATTCTTCTTCGAGTGCTTGCTCATATCCATTCCAGTTAGGTGTGTGCGCGCCGCGTGCACGATCGTCGGAAGATTTTTACCCTAGCAACACCCGGTGGGTCGGCTGTGGAGCCCCCTGGAGTGGCGCCGTTATGGCGCTGGATATATACCCCAGCCGACCCAGCGCCCCCTCAGTTCCTTCTTACCGCCCCTGACGGTCGTTGGAACAGTGAACCGCGGCATAGCTGCTATTCACTATCCCTAGCTTCTCATTATTGTTATTATAGTTAGTTGTATATATAGTTATTCAAGTTTTAGTTAGTTAGTTGTGTAGTGTATATATATAGTTGTAATATTGTTATCGGGGGTTTAGGGGGTGTTTTTCCCCTTTTCGCCCCCGGCGCACAGCCGGGCCCATGCCCAAGGCTCCTGGCTTTAAGCCGTGCGCGTCCTGCGGGAAGCATATGCCAACCAGCGACCCGCATAGTTCCTGCTTGAAGTGCCTTGGGGAGGCTCATCCCGCAGATAAGTGCCCTATCTGCAAGGCCTTCAAGCCGAGGACAAGAAAGGAGCGGGACTTTAGACTCCGACAGCTCCTGATGGAGGCGGCTCTGAGTCCGGATCCTCCCTCGGCGCGCCCTGTCCCGGCACCGAGCGCTTCGGTGCGCAGCGCCCCGGCAGGCCCGACCGGTGCGGCGGAAAAGACTGCTCGGCACCGACCGACGTCGGCACCGCGCCCGCCTAAAGAACCTCGGCGCCGATCCCTTTCTCCGGGACATAAGAAGGCCAGCAAGGCGCGGGACGTTGCTGCCGTGAAGATACCGGCTCCCCCGGTGCCGGGGGTAGAGCCGCGTCCGCAGTTGGACCGCCAAAGGCAGGCGGCCACACCGTCGACTCCGGCACCGAGGCCGTTGAGTCCGGTGCGGACTGTTTCACCACCAAGGCTGGTGGTGGAACCTTGTCTCCCTTCCACCCCGGAGACTTTTGCTACGGCGAGAGACCTGATCGCCCTCACGGAGCCGGCGCCGTCACAACTCCCGGCACCGGTGGCTCCACGCGTGCTGCAGTCCAGAGGCAAGCCGGCCCTGGTGCGCCCACCGTCGCCAGCTCGAGTCTCTCAGCACCGCTCCAGATCCCGGAGCAGGTCCCGACGCCGCTCGGAGTCCCGGCGCCGAATATCACCTCGGCACCGGTCGTACTCGCGGCCCAGATCCTCTTCGCGACGCCGTTCCACATCCCGGCACCGTCGCGACGACCGGCACCGATCGGGCTCGAGACGCAGCTCCCGGCACCGGTATGAGCGCCACTCGGGCTCAAGGGGCCGCTCCCGGTACCACGCCTCCTCGAGATCGTCGTTCCGTTCCAGATCGGGATCCCGGCACCGGAGGGACTACCGGCACCGATCCAGATCCTGGCACCGCTCTCCGGCACCGCACAGGGACAGATCGCCTTACAGCCGGCACCGATCGGCACCGTACCATCCGGTGCCGACGGCGTCGGGCTCGGCACCGCCGTGGCCGTCGAGATCGGCGTCGCGCTCGTCTGAGGCAGTGGAGGCCGGCCACCTGCAGGAGACCGATGACCCTATGCAAGGACCTGCGCATTGGTCCTTCTGGACTCCTTGGGCCTACCATCAGGCACAAGGAGCTCCGCTATCTGCCTCCCGCTCGGGCCGTTCGGAGCCCAGGGCCCCAGAGTCCACCATCTCCCGCCCTCCTCCAAGGGACGTGGAGGCTCCAGTGCCCACACCAGCGGAGGCCCTGGACCAGGGGGCAGGCGATGCCCAACTCCAGGAACACCTGGAGCAGGATCAGCCATTGGACCCCTTGCCACCGGGGGCATCCTCCTCGTCCTCGCCTGATGAGGCCGTAGCGGGCATATCCGCCCTTGGGCC